TGAAAAATCTGCAATATATCGAATTCTATAGACCCCTGACATAGTTTTGATTACTTAGTTGATTTAACACCCCAGTATGACGCAATATTTTGTATTGAATATGCAGCAATTCACACTCAATACTTCTACTTCGAATCTCTCGAAAAGTACGTACGAATCGTATACCAATTTCTAATAATATCCTGAAACAACAATAATATCCTGATTTAATAATATCTTGAAACAACAATCACACCTGAAACATGAACACCAATCGGACCACTAAATTAACTGTAACGTGAAAGTCATACTTCTGTTTTGAAGAAACTGCCAATGAAACTACCATTCTACGCTCTAATAAAAAACATTTTCTTGCCAAATTATGGCATAGAACATGCTCTAGTGCGATCTTTATCCTATCTCTAACATAAGATTTTATTGCTATAAAATGTTGCATATACTGGATTGTTTTGATTATTCGACGAGATACCTTTCACGGTTCTTTCAAGATACTATGGGCAATGTGAGTATCCAGTTATACATGTTGGCAAAATCCCAAACTATTATAGTTTGGGATTGGGCCAAACTCATATCTCAAAAATAATAAATCATATAAAATATTTATAGCTATATATAATATATTTGCAAAATATTAAATTTATTTTTTTGATTCAATTTTTTATAAATAGCAATTGTATTTTTGGGTTTGGGATTTGTCCGGGGTTTGCCAACAGGTATACATCCAGTATTTAAATTTTAAATTCAAGCATTTGCGACGCATATGCACATTATTAATAAGCGGTACGATTTTCGGAATAATACTATTACGCGAAAATATAGTACAAAAGAAAAAGATAAACCTTTTTTATGTAGATAATATAATAAACCGTTAAATACAAGACCGCGTCAAGCCAATAATTATTTACGTCTTTGCTTTAATCCGTGTGTAGCTTTCCCTAAGCATAAATAATATTTCATAATTGGTTAATTGGTGTTGCTATTTTATTTTTCTTTGAACTAGAATTTTGGTTTACTATTTTTTTTTTATCTGTGATTACATTTTGAAGTTAGCATGCATTTCAATTAGGGCCCTAAAATATTTATTAAAAAAAATATGATTTGATCAAATAAAATGAAAAGTGTACAGTTAATATTTTCTGTTTTCAAATAGTAAAAGCCTTAGGGCCATGAAAATATTAAACATTTCAATTTTATATGCAAATTTTAAGATATACATGATATATAATATAGGTTTAAAAAATATACTGTATTATACTGGAGATGTTTCTCGCGTCAATTACATCATATAACATCATATTTCTACTAAATCATTTACATTAATAAAAATTAACATGCAAAAAATAGGTTTAAGATGTATTCATAATTGGATCCGTGATGAATTTAATAAGAGACGATTATGTTGTAATCATTCAATTTAATAATGTCGAAATGCTTACTATTTCTATCGTTTCTTTTATAGACAGAAATTAATTTGGGGTTTTTAGATTTTCAGGAAAGTATACGCGTGAGATATGTCCTAGTTTATCTCGGAAGTATAAAGATTTGCATATTATGAACCAATGATATCGGTGATATATTTACAAAGACAGTTAAACATTTATTATATATATTATTCTAAGATTTGATAACATTAGTTGTGACCAATTCGTGTTTTTATGACGCGTAAAACATAAATGTTCAAGCATATATAAAATGCATCATGTTAATCAATTGATCATTAGAAAAATCCTTGCATTTATTACGAATCTTAATTGGCTTAGTTGGTTGACTTATATGTCAATATATATAAACGTACTATATAATATCGTTGAGGTTTATATATAAATTTTAATTAAATAAAGTCTTGTTAAATTGACACGAATTAAATTTATTTAATTAATTGTACTTCTAGACTGCATATGTAGCAGAGAACGTTCTTAACAGAAAATTATTTAATATAAGTTTCTTTCAAATTGTACCTTTTTTTCCAAATCCTTAGCTTTAGTTTTTACGCGCGTAAAATAATGCCTCAACAACAAAAAAAACGTATTAACGCAACCGTAGCGTGTACAAATTGTCGAAAACGACATGGAAAATGCAATACACTTACTGGTGAAAATAAATGTTCAAACTGTAGTAAACGAAATCTGGATTGTACTTTTAAGGAGGGCAATAAGCGCGGTCCGAAGTCTGCTGCTGATGCAAATCCAAATGTTTTTATTACCAATCTTTCTTCCTTCATTTACGATAAACGAATGTCAAATAATGATCAAAAAATCGCGTCCTCTCTTAATTCCTCCCCTAATTCATTTTCTGCAAGTGATTCTTTATTACATCCTTATAGTCATACCACTACTGTTGCTAATATTAACACTTTCGGAACTACCGAGACTATTGAGACTATTGAGACTATTGAGACTATTGAGACTATTGAGACTATTGAGACTATTGAGACTACAGAAAATTTCCTAAATACTCAACCCTCGTTATATTCTCATGATGAACAATTAATGCTAACTAATGATCAGAATATATCTTCCTTTTCAACTAACAGTCTAAACGATCCCTTCTATCAGGAAACTCCACATCCTCATATTAACCCTTATGATGAGGCTACTGTAGCACCCCAAACTGCAAGTGTGTACATATTTGCCTGAATCATTTCTGGCAGTCAGATTGTGTTTATTCCTTTTTTTCACGATGAACCGATTAGTCCAAAGATTGATCAAAAATGTATAGAATATGACTTTTTTCCCTTTAAATAAACAATTGAACTTTTTTTTTTTTACAAACTTTAAAAAAATTTTTTTCATTACTAACACAAACATTTCTCAATTTCTCATTACGAATATTCTTGCAAACACAAACACATTTCTCGATTTCTCATTACGAATATTGCAAACTCAATCATTTCTCAATTTCTTATTACAAATATTCTTGCAAACACTAATATTTCTCAATTTCTCATTACAAAGATTCTTGCAAACACAACCATTTATCGATTTCTTGTTACAAATATTCTTACAAATATTAACATTTCTCAATTTCTCATAACAAATATTCTTGCAAACACTATCATCTCTTGATTTCTCATTATAAATATTCTTGCAAATACAAATATTTCTCAATTCTTCATTATAAATATTCTTGCAAACACAAACATTTCTCGATTTCTTGTTACAAATATTCTTACAAATATTAACATTTTTTTTTCGAATTCTCAATTTTCTTTTTAATTACAAGTTTATAGACATTTTTTTTAGTTACAACACTTCTTATTAGAATAATTTTTGTTTTTCTATTATGAAAAAATCTAATTTAGTCTTACTGTTGTGAGATTATTTATATATATTATGAAATATGCTTTGATTAAATAATTAAGTTTTAAATTAATATTCTTAAGCAAAATAAATTTTATTATAAGGAAATAATCTTTTAAACTTAGTAAAAAGATTTTGATAACCTAAAAAAATACTAGAATAAAAATACACTCTACTTGTATAGTACTTTATCTGACAAACTCATGATCACAGCGCAGACTACCTTGATATTTTTTAGCTAAAATGCTAATTATATATTTTTTAATTCTAGACAATTAAGAATAAAAAATACAGTTATCAAAAGTATTTCTGGAAAGAAAATTTTTAATAAACTCTTTTTGACATAACAATTTATTTTGCTATTTGGACAATTGAGGTGACCTACTTATGAGTGACCCATAGTAAAATTTCTCTTAATACCTGGGTAACTAGGTTACTCGTCTGCGGGTAACCTGTAGCAGAATTTCTCTTATCACTCGGGTGACCTACCCGCGGGTAACCTGACTGGAATTTTTGAGACGGATTGGAACACCAAATAACACTATTTGCAAATAATATTGTATTTTTGATTAATATCAATAAACTATTAGAGCAACTACTGATAAACAAACGATTAGAAACAACTACTAATAAATTACCAAGAGCAGCAATCACCACCAATAAACTGCAAAGAGTAATAACCACTACCAATAAACTATCAATACAAACACCGAATGTGTTGAGTAAAATTAAATCTCAAAACATTTATTACAGTAATATATATATGTACATATGTTATACGTCAGTTCGTGAATTACGTCAGTCTTAGATTAACATGTGTTACTTTAAGATTTATACCGATCGGAATATGACGTATGTCAAATTAATCTACATACTACGTTTAACTCCTGAACTACTTATGAGACGCATGCAAAATTATATTTATTAGATTCCTTTTAATATTCACTTTAAAGTAATAGAGCCCTTTTTTTATGTCTTAGATTAACATGTGTTACTTTAAGACTTATACCGATCGGAATATGACGTATGTCAAATTAATCTACATACTACGTTTAACTCCTGAACTACTTATGAGACGCATGCAAAATTATATTTATTAGATTCCTTTTAACATTCTCTTTAAAGTAATAGAGCCCTTTTTTATTTTTCATATAAGTTGAAGAGAAAACTGATTACTAAAACATGATTAATTTTAGGACAATAAAAAAGAGTGCTCTATTACTTTAAAGAGAATATTAAGAGGAATCCAATAAAGGTATTTTTACTCGTATATCTTAAGTAGTTCAAAAGTTATTTCA